ATAGTGTTAGTGAGTTTTTAGCACGTCCTCAATACTATGCTACCTTGCTTTTCACAGCACATCATCTATGAGCAATGAATATGTGACAAATACAATTCATGAATCATGTTTTGTATGGTGCCCTTGAGAATGTTGTACATCATTATCAGAGAGAAAAGCCCGTGCAAGTTTTGGACAAGCTCCTTGATAAAATGTGGAACTGATGTGGCCAGATGGATATGGAGGTAGACTGGTTATCGAAAGACTCTCTTCGTCATCAACACCAGCGGTCAACCATGGAAATCAAATGCTGTTTTCAACCTTCCTCTGCAGCGTAGGGGCCTGTAGAGACTCATATGGTACACATGCAAGTTGCAACTGAAATACATGCAAAACTGGCTGAGCTATAGGGTGAAAAATGGCACTTAAAGAAGATTCGGAGACAGTTGCTTCCCACGGGCAGTGAGACTGTTAAACAATTGAACTGCTGAAACAACTTCAAAAACATTCATCTGCTACTCAGTAATATGTATCTAATATCTAATATATATCATTCCAATAACTTGTATATAGACTCGTACTGCACTATTCCACATGCTCACTTTATATTATTTTTTTTTTTCTTTTTGTATTGCTCTTGCTATCTGTATTGTTATTATGTTGCATTGTTGGAGAAGCCTGTGACATAAGATTTTCAACAACATAATTACTCTGTAGCTATGTCAGTTTGACAATAAAGAACCTTGAACCTTGGTTGTTACAGGAACAAGGTTGACAACCACACTTAAATTAAGAATAGGGGTTTGGGTCAACATTTCCCACCTCCTGTATTAACATGTTGCCGTGAGAAAATCTATTTACTCATACAGTTGGAGCTGAAAGCACCTGGATCTAGAAAAACAGTCCAGTAGAAGATAGCCTGCATATGCCAAAGAGGGGGGATATATAAGGTTATGGCTATACCTAAAACAATAGCCCCATTGTCCCATTATGCCCCCGTAGTGACCTAATGCAGGGCTAGACATTATAAATGGCTCGCTGGCCCGGAAGCACTATTTAGACCCCCCGGGCCAGCATAACGTACTTTCCACATAAAAAATATTGGTTTAAAAAATAAAAGAATAAAACAGTAAGACATAAAATCACATTGTCCTGTGGTATTGGTATTTTTGACAAGCAATTTTGTTAAATAGTTTTGTTTCTTAACGCTACAACATAGCTTGCCGTTGTTGGATGAAAAGCAAACAGCCGTTTGCTGCGGAGCCTTCACTACAGACTTTCGCGCCACCTAACCATTCGCCAATTTAATACCACCGGTAACCGGCCAAGCGCCGGGCAAAAAACGATCTTCAAATAAAAAGAAAGTCACCGGAGGAGTTAAAGGAGAGTGACAGGGAGTATGAGAAGAAGAGGGAGAGAAAGTTTCAGCCAGCTTGATCGATGAAGTTGGCTTCAATATGATGCCAATATAAACAAGGTCTTTTGTCGGCTCTGTACATCAATGCCGACCTATGCTGACAAGTAAGTGAAGAGTAGAAAATATAAAGGTATATTCGCTATAGGGAAATGTCCCAGAAGTTTAGGAGAATGAAGGTTCTTCTAATCTAATCTATTACATAACCATTACATTTCTAACTCCTAATGACAGGAAGGCAGAAAGTGTATTATAAAAATAATAATACTCATAGCAGAAATGTCACCCTCCTTTTTTTCTTTAACAATGACCACAATATCATAATTTTAATAAACTAAATATGAACAATTGAGGAAAATGAGGAATAACTGATGATTCAAATGCTGTAGTACAAGTAGTAATGTAGTTTGTGCATAAATGACTATTGCAACAAATGTGTTCATTTTCTTCATTATTAGAGTAGATTGTTTGGACGAATGCTCTTGGGCCAGTGGTTACAATGGTGGGGCCAGTGATAATGAAAATCTACTGGCCCGGAGGGCATTGGGCATGTGCAGTACTGTGGGACTGTAGCCCAACAATGCTTTTCTGTACGGGTCGACATACACACAAATGCAGAGGCCTGGCAAACAAGTGAGTGAGTGTGATTCAGCTCAAAGGCTCGACAAAATGTATGGAACTTAAATAGAAGTTCTGAGGCCTCAAAGCTGAAAAGAGAGGCAACAAAGGTTAGTGTTCACCGTCATTGGTCAGGGATGAACACATGAGATGATAGAAACAAAACAAGTAACTCTGAGAACAAAAGGTTGGCCATAGAAAGACTGTGACAACAGTTCGGCACATATTGCTTATTTTCGAAATAAAAGGTCAGTAATTTGCACACAGGCACTAAGCTAATGGCCTTCTGCTCTCAGCTTTAAGCCACCTCTCTCTCTCTTAGAGTTGTTCTCAATCATGAACCATGTGACCTCCCTCTTGTCATTGTGTCTTCCCACTCACTCATCCATACACTTCAGGGAAAGTAATGAGCAGCAGTTCCCACTGAAATGAGCTAGATTTGTGCTACGCAGGCTGAGTCAGGGTGTCCCACTTTACAGCAGGCTCCTGTCACTCTCTCCATAAGACGCTGCTGTGTGCACTCCTCCTCCACATGCTTTAAAAACACTGCATGCATGTACCTGGGTGTGTGTCGCAGCAATAAAAACGACTACGTTGTGTCTTAGTGTTAGTAACTCTCTCATGTTTGAGGCAGTTATTCGAACGTACTTACATGAAACCCTAGCATCATTACTTGCTAACATTACTGAGGGCAGAGTTCATCACATCAATGCATCAGTCATATATGTGCTGGGACTGTGGATCATCGGGGTGATGATGACACTGCACTTACTCTGCTAACATGGTCTTATTTAATATAAATTGTTAAATTTCAGGCTGAGTTTAAACGTCAACAATGCTCAGTTATTCATCATAGTCGTTGTATTTATATGTCAATATTTAACTTTCAATAGTGAAATGAACAGTTGCAGCGATGTAATCGGGTAAGGTCCTTAAAATGTAAGGTAAATGATAAGGCTTGCAGTTATTGATCAAACACCAGAGAGAGCCTAAGAGCATAGATTAGATCAGATTAATAGGAGAGGACCCTCATGCCATCTTTGTTGTCATCCGGCAAACATCAAGCAAACACCTACAACGTGTAATTACAAGGTTTAGATCAAAACCTATTAAATCGAGGCAAAGATTACATCATTATTATTGTGCAGCCTCGAGAGCATCTATACAATTCATCAAAGTCAGGATGAATGCAGTGTTTCATGTGAACCTGAATGAGACCTAGAACATCTTAAAGTCAAAATGACTTACAGTATATATAGCGGGTCAAGAGCTGCCTCACAAGATGCATACTTGTGTATTATTTCCATACATACACTTATATACTTACAGTAACATGTCCTGCAAGGCTACATTCAAGCACTGTTTTATTTTATCACAAGGATGTCAATCTCCATATTGCAAATTTGGACAACTATATGTCTTCACCCATATGATGTCAATATAGGGTTATGATAACATTATAACTACTCATTTTCAATTCATAAATATATGTTTTGGTTAGCTATACATAAAAGAAATTGAGAAATTAGTTGATCAGTCTGGCTAAACTTTAGATAACAGACACTAAGTTAAGTCACTTAAATGTCACTTACAACAAATACTGACACTGGCTGAACCGGACTTACTACTTAGCTGACATATTTATTAGCATATGCCTCTAGCTGAGACATGCAATGGACAAGTTTGTCAGAGATAATACGCTGAGAAGATATCATTCATTCAAAGGAACACATTTTCCTCTCAGCCGGTTCAGATACATGTCATTATTCTGTAACCCTATCTACACTGCAAAAAAGCTGTTTGTGTAAAATGAGCATAAATCATGCAAATGTTGCCATTGTTTTATGCATCAAAGTCTTACAAATCCTGTCTCATTCAAGTCAGGAGGGTCTCACTTGTGGTAGCATGCAGACATTCCTTTACCTCACTAAAGTCACTCGGATCCAATCAGCATGTGAACAGCAGGCATCTCAGGAATGTTATGAGCAAACTGAAGTTTCAAGACTCCTACAGGATAGACTTACACTTTACAGTTTGTTCACTTTCAAAATGAGTAAAGATTTACACATACAGCTGTATTGATTTTTAAGTGACAATGAGAATATGATTTCAGCACATATTCAACATAGTTCTGGTTTGTCCTATCTGGTGCTTAATTTAATTAATTAATTTAACATTGTCCAAACTTAACACATCTAATCCCTTTGTGTACTTGCTTCAGTTTTCACAAGACATGACAGATCCTTCGTTACATGAGTTCAAGGTAAATGAGTGCCTTCCCTCTCTCCTGCCACAGACTAGACTAGCAGCTGTGACCCCTCTCTTTGTTGTTACAGTCAACAGCTGAGACCCGGGCTGCTGATCTGCAGCAAGCTCAGCTGCTTTCCACACACACTGACTTCTAACTATTTGAATGGATATGCATGTCATTTCTGTCCTGCACGTATACCGGTATGACCGGTGACCCCAAGAACTGACCGAACCGAGACCATCAGTACCTAGGGTTGTGTTTATTAATGTAAACTACTATAACCACGCCCATGCTGCCTGGTATGCTAGCACGGTATGCACACGTTAGCCAAAGTGTTGCATGTTGACAGGATGTTTATGATAAGTCACTGCACCCTTAATGTCGCTTGCACAGCAACAAAGAAACATCTGGAGGCTCCTCCACACCCCGGCGTGTCCGCCCGCGTTTAACCGGTAACAATGGTGACGCAAGCTATGCAGCTAACCAGCCGGTTGCTACACGTTAGCTAGCTATTGAGTACAAGAGTAAACAGCAGGCCACACATTACTTATTAAAAGCACTATACGTCAACTGTGCTGTATCAACAGGTCTGCCAGTTGGGGCCATACCATAACCAGGCCACTCACAGCCACAACTCTCAGCTAATGCAGCACATCTTATAAAACTGTTATCTCTGGTTACCACAGTTATAGCAACCGACAGACACCTCCAGCGGCTTATAAAGAGATAATTCCTCACCCGAAGAGAGACTCTGACTCCTGGTGAACCCGGGATCACCTCCTGAGATCAAATTCGCCGTGTCATGGGTGTGTTTTATCACAAAGAAAAGTGGGGAAGAGGATTAGCTATCTAGTGGTCGCTATTACTCCGACGTCCTGGGGACTGAGGAAAAAGGGAATGCAGGAATGTGACGTTCAGTCCGGCTTGCGGGCAGCGTTGACACGTGCACTCAGAGTGAGGCATTGTGGGAAAGGTAGTTCGATAAGAATTGCATGAGAATTAACATAGGAATGAACTGATTAATAACCGGTTTGACATGTCACACTGCCCCCTCCCTTCTGGGAACACAGTTTCGATACAGTACCATCCAGAACGGATCATGGCTTTAGTTTGTAGTTACTTTGAGATTTAGGTTTTCTCAAGTGCTGTTTACTGTTCTTTTAATGTTTGTTTTTTTATCAGTGTTTACATTTCAGTTTTATTTGTATGTGTGTATGCACCAAAACACCAAGACAAATTCCTAGTACTTATGTGTTAGCCTACTTGGCAATAAACCGGTTTCTAAATCTGAATCTTAATCAGTTTTCGATATTTTCCCTTTTTCTCTTATTACTAAAGCCAACAGCCACTATTATCGGTATAATTTGATCAGTAACTTGTGATGAAACTTTCCTTTGCCACTAGTTTCTTTGCAGTGCTTGTAATATGTGTGTTTGTGTGTTAATATATTCCCTTTTGTAGGTCAATTTTGGAATAAGGCCATTTTTTTTGTGAGTAGATTTGGAATTAAGAGTGATCATAGGCTAATATTTCGCAGTCGATACGTAATCTGAGCTGTGCATAAAGATTGCATTTAGCAATTAAAAAATAAAATAAACAACAGATTAAATACACACTCATACACATTATGATGTTCAAAAAACAATGTACAGAAAACATCTTAGATGCTTATAGTTCTGTACAAAATGTAACACTAGGTGAATACATAAAAAAAAAAAAAATCCAATTGAACTAATAATAAAAAATAGATAGGTACAATAAAATTAAAATTAAAACAAAGAGACAAACTTTGCAGCTACTCTGTCTTTTTCCTTACACCCAATTAATTGCCCATGAAACCCATGGTTTGAAGAAACCACCAAACCCAGATGACTGCAGATCACAGTAAAAACCTGCTGAGGAATAATTTCAATGTAACCATGACCCCTTGTGGACGATGAGCGAAAAGCAGTAAAGCCAAAGATGCTCCACTGTTTGTGTGATTCTGTGGATGAGTACATATTATGAATATATTATAATACCACCGGGATTTATCAGGGTCCTTATTCAATATGTTAGACAGCTGGAAGATATCACTAAGACAGATGGACTGACAGATAGACCTGTATATAAACATGACGCACAGAAAACAGACAGAATGACACACAATCCATACAGAAGAACTACAGACAGGCGGAGCTGTCTAAAAGTGGAAAGGTAGACAGTTCCCCCTGCTCCAGATGGCTACAGAATATGTTTGCCACCACAGTCAGAGGCTAATTAACTATCATGGCGTGATGGAGACTCCAGCAGCACTGCACCCCCACCCGCTTATTCTCCTCCTTCCCAGTCTCCCTTTCCCAGTTCTATATCTATCCTAAGTCGTCCCATAATTACTTTGTTGTCGTCTCCACATCACCCGCAGCACCGCAAGCCATTCATCCCTCCATGTCCACTCCCAAACGGCTGTGCGTTTTCTCTCTACATATGCTCCTATCATCTGTTCTAATTCTAATACAAGCTCACCTTTAGGTTTATTCTTTTGATATAAGTCTTGTCCTAAAATATGCCCTCACCATTTATGAGCAGAGCAAAACAGAGTTGTATTATGTTTTAAAAGCTTTTACTGCCCATGTCTGTGTCATGCTTATGGCTGTCTGGGTTTTACTTTGACTGAAATTGATATGCCTCACTTCATGATTATTGTTTCAAACTTGTTTCTTGACTTTAGGATAACATCGTCAGTTACTATGGTTAAAAAATAGCTTCCAGGCTAACTCTGGCATTGTAACAGTACAGTTTATAAGTATGTAGTTTCCTTGGTGAACCTACTGATCTGCAGATTTGAGGCGTGTGTGAAGCTTAGGTGTAAAAGTTGGTAAGAGTCAGAGTACTTTGCACTGTTGCCAAGGAAACCATAATGTTGAACTGCTGTGTAATTTCAGTGTTCTAAAAATGTCAACACTTGTTGAAACGCTTGGGGTCCTTTGAAAGGGTTTTCACAACAACTTAACCATAATCATAATTTCTTTCTTCAAGGTCTTAACATAGAGGGATTTACAAAATATTAAAGCCTCCCACGAAAGGAACAATGGTTTAAATATTTTCTGTGTTAAATAACCCAAAATGTTTAAGATGTGAGCAAGAAAAAGGTTACGAATCTTAAAGTATAATGATCTTAGTCACATTTGTTTACAGGCAGTTTATATGAATTTACATATAAACATAAGTCTTTTTTGAATTGAGCCTTGCTCCATTTTAATGTGGGTTTGACGGATGTGCAGTGAATGCTGTTGAGCAAAAGAAAGAGAAAAGGCTGTTCAGGTTCGCCTTGCATGAAGCTGCTCCTCACCAGAGGATGGTACCAAGGCACCAATTAGCAGTGGAGAGGGCGCATGATGATATTTCCGTGTGCTTGTGGCCGGGGCAGCTCCGTCTGTGTGTGTTATAAAAGGCAAAACCATAAACATGGAATTAGACAGTGCAGGACCCGCAGCTCTTAAGGTCACAGACTCTCCCCTCCTGCGGCTTGTGAGAGCAACGGTGTGATATAAACAACACTGGCCTGCAAACTGTTATTACTCCCCTTGCGGTTTTTATAACAGGGCGGATGATTATTTGTGCTTGTCAGAATGTGAAGTTCATTAGGCCGACGACCTCGATGCAGCGGCCCCCTGCGGTTCTGCTCTTAGGTCGAAATGGGTGCAAGAGAAGTGTGGGAGAGAGATCAGTGTGAAACAGATAGAGAGAAACTAAGTGGGTGGAAGTGACTGAACATCTCTTTGTGTAAAACACACACAGGCGCACACACACACTAAGCCTCAGACAAATAAACACACGGAGATTGGCCACAGTTCAATTTGTTGAGTAACAAAAACATGATTTAACCAGCAGGTGGGGGCAGTAGACAGATCATACTGTTGCACACTGAGCATTATACTGTTCTGTAAGAGCTACTGTAACCTACCTTCACAGGGGGCGGAAAGAAGATCATAAAATACATAATGCAATCTAATCTAACACATTTTGTTGTGACCACCAGCCATGTATTTAAGTGGTAAAAATAATAAAACATTGATATAGATGTGTTCATCATCTGTTCCTTTTCATTTGTGTCCACAAATCTTATCAACAAGCACGTAACTGCATTCTATATTTGTGATTATTCCTTATTCAACCTTGACAAGCAATACTCCTCACAAGTCCTTTTAATCTTTGTTAACAGTATGTCATTTTCCAACAGAATAGTAAAACATAAGAGGTGCGTTACAGTAGTAAAGTGTTACATGTATGGCAACAATTAACATTATTTTCACTATTGATTAATAGGCTGGTTATTTTCCTTGTTGTTTTTTAAAATTATAGAAAAAGACGATGGATATAAATAAATCCCAGAGCACAAAAAGGACATTGGTAAATGTCTGGTTTAAATTATGTCAATTTTCTGCAGATGTATGTCAAGACATTCCCACATATAAACATCCAACAATGAAATGTTAGGCTTTTCTGCTTAAATATAGATTCATATGATCAAAATGATCAGATACATTTTCTTCATATTGATTAGTTCAATATATGTGGCAGCTCTACATACATGTCATACAAATATTTAAGAACTGTAACCGTTTTATTTTGTGTCTTTCATTTACAGGCTCATGCTGAAAAGATTTCGCCATAAAAACATTGTTATTCAATATCCATTAAACTTTAGTTTTAAATAACTTGGTAACCAAATAGATAAAACTAATTTGCTCTTTGCTTTGTCCTTCAGCATCCCTCCTCAGGGGCTTGCTCCCCCCCCCCACCCTTGTCCTCCTCTCTGCAGCCTCACACTCCCCCTGCTGTTGAACTGCAGTAGAGCGTCTGAGGAGTGCGTTGACAGCTCCGGGCCGAGTGTGTGCCCGCCTGCCTGTATGCTGAGCACCCGTTGAGTAGGTGGGTCTGCTGGAAGGGAGTGGGAGAGGTGGGAAAAGGGCAGATGGAACACAGAAGGAAGTTCACCAGCAACACATCGAGTGTCAGAAAGTAGAGAGGGGACAAAGAGGGAGGGTTTCAGAGGGAGCCGCAGGGTCCGTGATAGGTAGAGGAGTCAAAAACGGAGAGAATGAGGGGACAGATATGCAGAGAGAAAGGACCACAGGTGGTAAGGGATGAGGGAGAGCAAGGGAGTAAAGGATGGAGAGGTGAGAGATGTGTCAGGTACCACAGGGAGAGGTGATGGGCAGCGGGGGTGGAGGGAGGGTGGAGGAGTTGGAGTTTGGGGGGTGATAATGATGTCAGGTGCAGGAGGGTACTGGGTGGGTGGATGATGGAAGGATGGGAGAGAGGGGCATACTTTTGTGACCTTCAACAATAGTTTGAGGGTGGAAACTTGGCAGAAATATATTATTATAATATAATATATATTTGTAGTGGTCCTTATCCTATGTCATGTGGTTGGAGGAACAGCCCAAAACTCCAACAGTTTTTGACAAAATATAAAAAAAAGGGACAAACTGAACTTTGGTATAAATTTGACTTTGAACCGAACAGTTCAAGTCCTCCTCCCTGAAATCATACCAAATGTTAAGGACTTTACCTTTGAAACAAAAAGAAAATCACCCTCCTGGTTAATGCCACAGTCTTCAAATATTGTGCCGAACAGAGGAAGGATGTATAGCTTATTTCACAGAAAAGCTGCAACTGAAAACGGACACCTTTATGAAGAACTTGTGAGTTTTGTCTTGAGTTGATGCAAGAGTTTACATATTTTTCTTCTTTTCTTGATTGAAAGTAAACCAATGGAAGCATATTGAAAAACCCTTTAATAAAAAAGCATGGCTACCCTTGAGACCATCAAAACTGATACTTGAAACTGTTTCTATTGTGTGCTCTTCAGTTGATTTATTTTTACACGAGGACATAAACCCCTTCTACCTCATTGAAAAATAATACTGCAGTACATTTTATTTTCAAGTGTGCACTGTAGAAGCCCTTTATTA